AATTTCTGAATTCCATTGTTTCTGTTGAAAAGTCAGCTATATTCCTTTTAAAGTGATCGGTTTTTTTTATTAGTGATTGGACTATGATATGCACCATTATAATTATATTTCTATTTGTCTTGCCTTCGTATTGTTGGTGGTTTTGTGTTTTTGTGTGCATGAAATTCGATATTTGAAAAATTAGCTACCATTATCTATTCAACTATTTCTTGTCCATTATTCTCTTTAAATGCTCCTTTTAAATTTTATATTACATTTTCATATTTTGCTTTTCAAAGTTTTTACATACCTGAAAATCTCAACTTTATATTTTATTTATTTTAACACATATAAGATAGCTTTTATTAAAGTTTGTGTCTAATAATACTGTCTTGTGAATCTTCTTCTTTCTTTCTTTATTTTATTTTGCTATTTCTCTTGGTTTTGCTCACAATCTGTTTAGTCTTTGTATGCCTGTATATTTCTAGGTGCAGAAAATTTATGTGAAAAATTTTAATTTTAATGATAACTATGTTCTAGGGTGATTTTTGTTTACTTTCAAAGATAGGTTACCATTCTCCAGATGAATGAATTGCATCATTGGGTCCAAATCATCTTGATCCAATCAATGATTGAAATGATTTTAGGCTGAGCTTTAGCATCTGTGGAGAGAGTTTTATAAGGCCAACTTCATCCTTTACAGATGATGAACAACAGCTTTTGTTTATTCATTCCTAGGCCGCATCAAAAGATCTGCTCTTCTTATCAGGCTCATATAGGGCTTCATATGCAAGGTTCAATCACTTCCCTAGATCTGCCATTTTAAAATCCTCAACCTTCTAATTCCTCAAGGACATTATATTTCTGAGGGCTATAAAAACTTTTTAAAAAATATTTTGATCAGTTTTTCTCATTAAACTCATTAGTTTTCTGTGTACGAGTTATCTCAAATAAAAATCACCATCATATGTTATTTATTTGACAAACTACAAAAACACGCACACACACACACAATCTTTATTTAGCATGATACTAACTTCAAAAGTATTCATTAAGTACAAAGTGATATTACTGTATTACAACTGAGAAATGCTTCTAGATAACACCCTTATCTTCAGGAGATTATGGTTAAAACTATTTTGTTTTCAGAAATTCTGAATTACATATTTTTTAACTGCCAATAGCAATTTTATGAAAAGAGAGAGTAAATCCAACAATACCCTAATAATGATAGCATTAATTTTTTTTTCAAGATAAAATGAAATGAATTAAGCACAGTTTAAGCACATGGTTGCTAACCAGTTCAAAATTACGGTTTCATGTTTCAGTGTATTTTTTTTTTTAGCAGAATATTCCCTTTTTCAATTTATACATCTATCACATTGAAGATTCCACTGAGGTTTTGAAGACTCCCAAACTCCTTGCTTGCCTGGTAGAAGTAATAAATTTTTTGGTATTCAAAACAAAAGATTAGTCTAATGAACATAATTTTTTAGAAGGAGGAAATATAAATATATTTAATAATATAAGTAGGTTAGAATTTCAATATAGTGTTTATCTTCAAAATAAGAAAAAAGAAGGTGTATGTGCCTCTTTAGAATATAGAATCTTCAGTAGAATTTTGTATTGTAGGGGAGTTTCCAGTCTTTGTAAGTTCTTGTGTTGGACTTGGCCTGTATATCTTTGTATCTGTTTACATAATTACACTTAATTTTGATTTTGTTTTACTTCCCCTTATTTAGTAGAAAAGACCAATTGCATTTTCAGAAGAATATATTAATATGTGTCTATCTAGCCCTAGTTTTCCTCATCTTGAACTATTTTCTGATTACTTTCTAGGTTTAATAAAATATCTTTTCTCCTTTCTTCTATTTGTACTGAAATAATTTTTTTCAAATGCATTGTCCAAAAGTTATTTATCACTGTCTAGTGCTTTCAGGACATATCATTCATAACCTGGTACTTTTTTTTTACTCTCCATATTCTAGCATAAAAATATTCTTTATAAAATAATAGGCTTCCTAAAACATATTTCTATATGCTAGTAGGCTCTCTGAATTATGTTTGAGGATTGAGATAAGATTATAGTTTAATTTCCTGTCATCCAAAGAAACTTCAGATCTGTGTTCGTGCTTTTATTAAGTTAATAAAGGGTGACACTTGATCCACAATAACTATTGTTCACAACATTTTGTATTCCTAATATGCTCTTAGAGAATTTGCTCAAATTTGACTTCACTAGATCAATTGGTGTCGAAATAACTACGTATTTTAAACGTTTTATTGTACTAAAACAATTACCCTCTTCATTATTCTGAATTTTTGACATTCTATCATTAAATATTCACAAGGGGTAAACACTTTCTTTATATCTGAATAATGAGGCATTTGGTAACACAGAAATTCCTCCGGTCTCTCAAATGAGACTGCTTTTATAATGAATTGATCAGAATTTTCATTGTTTCTACTTCTCACACACAAAGTTTTCTTGGCACATGAGAAAATAGTTAAATTTCTAGAACGCAGAATTGTAAGTGAAAAAACCTCCATACATAAATTTCTATTTGTGTATTTGTGTGTAATTATATATAGGTTATAGATAGTGTATGTGAACGGATATGAAACCATGCACATGTATTACGCATTCTAACAATGTTCTAACCAATGTGTACAACTAACTGCATATTTGAGTAAAACATGTCCAGCTACAGATTTGTTCTTCACAACATGGTAGCAAGTGGAGACAAAATAGTTAATGGCAGTCAAATTTATTTATTTATTTTTTATTATTTTTTTTGTTAATAATTTGAAGATGTTTATTGCATTCTATTTTTGGTGGGAAAAAATTCAACATACATTTATTTAGCACGACATTGTGAAATACACAAAACATGTAACTGGGTCAGCAGGATTTTTCTATTCCTAGTCCATCTCTGAGGACTAAATCATGAACTGCTCCCAACGTTATTAAATGTGTCTTGCAATAGTTGGGCACCAAGTTTAAGATTAATTTTCTCCTCTCAGTATAGGCAGCAATTCACCATTTTCTTTCAGTTCCTTCATGATATCCAAACCTCCCACCAGCTCCCCTTTCACATACAGCTGAGGGTATGTTGGCCAATTTGAGTAAGCTTTTAACCCCTGCCGAACTTCTTCATCCTCCAATATATCGAATGTTTCATATTCATCACCAGTACTATTTAGTATTTCCAGAATTTGTTTGCTGAATCCCCATTTTGCTTCCTGTTTGTTTCCTTTCATAAAGAGCATCACAGAAGCTTTATTTGCCAGCACTTTGAGCCTTTCCTCTAATTTGGGGTCTTTGGGACAAATTTTATCTAGTTCTTCAGATGCTTCTAGCTCCTTAATTATATCAAGTCCTATGAGCTCTCCAGAAACGTAGAGCTGAGGATAGGTAGGCCAATTGGAATAGGTTTTGAGTCCCTGTCGAACCTCTTCATCTGAGAAGATTTCAAAACTGCTAAACTGAATATTATGTTTGTGAAGAATTTCCACCATCTGCTTGCTGAAACCACATCGTGGTCCTTGAGGAGTTCCTTTCACAAACAGCATGCAGGGGGCAGCATGAGTCAATTTCTTCAAGGGAAGGTTGAGATCTTCTTTAGGATGTTCGTTAGCGCTGGGTGGGAAGGAGCCACTAGATGCATGTCGCTGAACTTTTTTGGTCAATTCTGGAGCATGTGCACCATCTAATCGGTCGATTTTCTGAGAATTCTTGAAAAACAGAAAAGTGGGAACAGAGCTAATTTCATATTTTTCAGATACTTCAGGAACACCTTCAGCTTCCAACTTCACAAATGAAACCTCTGGGTGTTCTTTAGCTAACTCTGCCATAACTTCGTTCATCTGTGCACATTGTGGAGCCCATGGTGCCCAGAAATGGACCACAAGGAGGGACTCGGCTTTGAGGCGCAGCAGCTCCTCAAACTGCCCGACAG